AGGGTCTCCGGTTATCTACACTCACCATACTAAACACAGCAGTGTTAAACTGTTATTTGACGCTGGTATTCTGTGAGAGCGTGGTCCTTCCCCGGTCGAGCCGACCCATTTGTGCTACAACTATACTACTAATATAGCTGCAGCGTGGCTCTTCTTAATTGTAAAGTTATTAAATAAGATACCCGTACCTGGCACTATATTTCTACCAAAACTACCAAAGTACGATATATTTTTACAAATATACATTTCTTAATTATTGTTTTCTAACAAATAATAGATAGATGTAGATGTCTATGCGTCAGGAGTACTACGTACTAGTTTGTCGGCCATATTTATACAAAAATTACATGGTGATTCAGACTGAATAATTAGCCTAAATTTCAACTGCACTTGGGTTCGCTTCCAAATAACGTTGACGTTATTGAATTTGTTGAGTATTCAATTTTAGCTTCGGATTTATTATCTGCAGTATATAAAAGCAACGTCAGGAAATTCGCAGATAATATTTAGATAATATGTATTTCGCAAGCCCTGGAGGGAGCTGCTCCATTTGACCTAAAAAATGTTAGCCTTACATTATCTTTACTTATTGTTTGCAATTTAGATAATCTTATTTAAATTTCTTCATAAAATCTCACACGAGTGTCGTAAATGTCTACTAAATTCTGATATTATAAGTCAACATGTACTCTTATCTACATCTTAGTTTATGCTTCTTTAGGGTACAAAAGCATTTACAGAATTCTTATTTTGCATAGCAAATTAACAAATTCATGTAGTTGATTGTCTTTTGTCCGTGGAAACTTATTGTATAAATCTAACTAAGAAGTTAATTTATATAACAATAGAACAAAGTCAAAAATACTTTATCTTACCTAATGTTTTTTTTAAATATGTATCTTTTATAAAGTTTGTTTAGATCAAGTTCTCTAAATTCTGTAAATTGTATTAATTGGTTATGAAACTTGGTTTACTAGACCTGTTCTTACGACTACTGGTAGGTTATTTTTTTAAATAAAAAGATGACAAACGAGCATATGGTTGCTCGCTTGATGGTAGGTAGATGTTGTGGCACAAAGAAATCTGTCCTCGATTAAGAATCAAAATGAAAATGCTTTGTCATGCCTGAAGACTGACATCCTTGCAGTTCCACATTTATCGTACGAAACACAATAGCATTAAGCTGATATTTCACCATGTTATTCTGTAAAAGCTAAACCACAATATAGCCGCAACGTGTTTGTTGGTATCTTATCACAATAATGAGAATATTAAGAAAATAAAAGTTAAGCTTTGCAGCTCTACACAAAACTGAAAACTTCAGTAATTTAAAATAAATCAAAATTAAATCATCGAACAACAAAGTGCATGATATGCCCCATACACATCTATATACTATCCTCGGTTAAGAGATAAGTTTAGATCCGTTTTAAGCCATGGAAACTAAGGTGGAATGTCAATTTGCCAGCAAAAATGGTCACTAGTTCTCGTCACTCACCACACAGAACACATGCCATATTTTCTTTCACGTAGCTATTCCAGTCAAGGATGGTTTATTCCACGGGCGTGCTAACGCATTCCTGGTGCAACCATAACGCTGAAGAAACTCTTCCGCTTAAAATATGTAGAAAGATATATGTGTGTCATGTTCTGTTTAATTCACTCCACCACCATAATTCAAAGTCCATTTATTGAAAAACCTGTCCTTTTCAGAAAGTCACACATATATACCTTATTAATCACTCATTCTGAGAGAATAATATTATACGCATTCTTTTCCATATACTAATATTTAGCTCTATGATTGAAAAGTTTAATATGAAATGAACAAGAAACTGGGATTAAAAAAAAATATATGACATAAAAGACCCCGCAGTAACTGCACTGTTATAAGTTAAATTTGTTAGCAAGTTAAAAAGGGGTAAGCTAGCACTTACTTCATAATATACCGTCTACGCAGCACTTATGCAAATGAGTCCGTGTTCAGATATAAAAAATCTTAATTTAGAATATTCATTTCGAGCACACGTATACATCTCTTGTGGAATAACATTTCCAGGGGTAATTTCATAAATGAGAGCCTTAAAAACATTTTTATTTTAAAACGAGAAAGTGCTAAATATTGTTATATGCATTTTTTCGCGAAGTTTGTCTTAACTGTGTCCCCAAGTGTATAGCTCGGATACTTTTATGCTTACATCGCTTCTGGCAGCAAAATGCAATTTATTTAAAGCTGACGTATTTTAATTTGTTTCGTAGCTGAGTTGATCTATTGTGAAAATAACGTTCCTTAAAAATTTACTTTATACAAAACTTTTTGATTTCCTTATGGTTAACGAATTTGAAAGAAAAATGTTCTAATAATTTCACCTGAGTTTGATCGCCGACAGCGCTACTTAAATTTTTAAAAACAATATGAAGTTTATATTTACCACGTGTTCAGATGTGAAAGAAAAGATCATGAGAAAGATTGCATGTTTCATCATCATCATCATTGTCATCATTACAGCCTATAAAAGTCCACAATTTAACATAGGCTGCCTCAACCTCACCAAATGTTGCATCACAAGGGGGGGTACTTGCCATAGTTGCCAATCTTAGCAGGTGAGTTAGCAACTGCGGGTTTATATTCTAGAGTTGTTATTAAGAAAACACTGCTGCCCATCCCCTGGTTAGATTGCCTTTGTCGCTTCTTACGACATTCACGGGACGATATGAGGTAATGGATATTTTTACACTGCCACTACACAGCGTGTAAGATGTGTTTTGTCAAATGATTTTCAGACGTGATGACAAGGTCGTACGAGAGAAGCACGAAAAACTCTTCTACTGTATTTTATCAGACGAGACGTATACAGGCTGTAAGTTTATGTTTTATATTTATTCAATAATATAAGATTATATATAACTGTGCGGGACAAGTGAAAACAAATAGTGATAGGATATAAATAAGACGTACATTTTATGTTATATAAAATTGAATAAAGATTATAGAGTTACACATAAAATAGGATATAAGCATTTTATGTTATGATAAGGAAATAATAGTTTAGTGTTATAGATATCTGTATAATAGAATTAATTTTAATGTAAACAATGACTCAGTAAGGTGGTCACGTTGTATAGTAGAACTAGCTTTAATGTAAAAAATGTAACGTGACTCAGCAAGGTGGTCACTTAACATCGTCACTTGCTCTGTCACGCCTAGCGCTGATTGGTCGACGCCGTTTGCACGCGGTATTATTCTCCACCAACCCAGCACACAATTGTGCCTGTAGGGCACATTTAATGGTCCTTCGCGAGCCGAATATTGTGGGGGATAATTACCTGAAGACTTCAAATAGTGCTACAACGAGTTAAGAAGACTTCTCGGAAATCGTTTTCAAGACTCAAGTTTTTCGAAGAAAAAGTCAGCATGGTCATTACGCGCTCTGAGGGAAAGGGCAGCAAGCCGTTGTCGTCCGAGGCTACCACTTCGGCGACCGGTACCACCAGTGCAGCCAGTACGGAATTGACAGCTACAGGGATGACCGTCACGGAGACTTCGGAGTATACAGCGTATATACCTTTATATATATATATATATATATATATATATATATATATATATATATATATATGTATATATATATATATATTTATATATATATATATAAAGGTAATCTAATATATCATTCTACCTGACTATCTCTCCTGACTGATCTGTAAACTTATGACCACCTTCATTACATTGAATTACTTATAATTTTGCTTATAATTTATCTATTAGATTGTTCTTTTTCCTTTTCTTCTAACAACAATACACCTACCATCAAACAATATAAGGGAAACCTGTTATTGGCCATACTTTTAGTTTGTTACATTAATGTTAATATTTTCTATATACGCTGTTGGTTTTCTAAATAAATAAATAAATAAATAAATACAGACACCTCCGCGGCAACTGATCCATCCACCGTGACTTCCACCACCGCAGCAATCACTTCGTCCGCCGCCACCTCAGCCTCAGCCTCAGCCGCAACCGCCGCCCCCGCCGCGCACCCCGCCAGCGCCGTCGCTCCTTCCGTAACACCATCCGCGGCGACGATGCTAACTGCGGGTGCGAAGGTCAAACAGCTGATGAAGCCGCCCGCTACTGTCACTAGAGCAACTCACCGAGAAACTTCTACAGTGAAGCGAGTTATAAGAAGCACCGCCGGTCCATCGAAGCAAACCGGACTACAGGAACCCCGCCCGCCCAGCAAGGGGGATCTACACGCAGTAGAACGAAGCAGCTCAAGTTTGCATAGGCGAAAGAATATTTGCTACGCCTTCAAGTGGAAATAGCCGCAGCACGCCTTGCTCCCTTGGAAAGGGAAGACTCAGAAAGAGGAGGAAGAAGAAGATGATGCCTCCCTCTACTCGAGATTAGAAGTCAATGCAAGAGTGGATGACTGGTTGGAGAATCAAGTGAATCGTCCGGTGTTAGCAATCACCAACAAACCTCACCATGCCATAAAAGAACCAACGACCGCCCACGCAGAAGAACCAAGGCAGGAAAAGCATGAAGAAATACATCAGTCAACGGCAGGAGGTCAAACTGACGTAGCCCTCCTGGCTGAAGTCATCACTCGGGCTGTCAGCACCGCCCAACGACCTAAGTTCGTTGAGATACTATTCTTCAGTGGGTCTCATCAGGAATGGATTCCCTTTCACGCCGCCTACTACGAGACAGAAGCGACGTTCAGCGCAGTTGAAAATACGAATCGACTCAGAAGAAACTTGAAAGGGAAGGCCAAGGAAGCAGTTGAAGGCCTACTTATGACCAACGCACACCCGGCTGAACTAATGAAGACTTTGGAGTCAAGATTTGGAAGATCAGAGTCAATAGCCATGCTGGAGATGGAGACGCTTAGAGGTCTGCCGCGCCTTACTGAGTCACCAAGAGACATATATATATATTTACCACCAAGGTCTCCAACGTAGTGGCGACACTGAAGACTTTGGGTTGTTTTAACTACATGTACAATCCTGAACTCGCGAAGACAATAGTAAACAAACTGACGCCAACTCTGTGTTATAGATGCTACGACTTCTCAGTCATGCAGCCACGTGTAGACCCTTACCTCATCAAGATAGAGAAGTTCTTCAAAAGGGAAGTAGAATTGTGTGGACCCTACGCGCTGCCCGAACAGATGACACCGCCCTCTATAGTCGCACCACAAACGAAGACTCAAAGGATCAACAACGTAACTGAGAAGACACACATACCAATGTGCGTCGTATGTGAAGATACGGGGCATACCAATGCCACAGAATGTAAACAATTCAAGAAGTTAGATGCAAATGCAAGATGGGACATGGCCAAGTCTAAGCGCCTCTGCTTCAGGTTTCTTCGCTATAGGAACAAGACACACCACTGCCGACCCAAGTCATGCAATGTAAACAGCTGCAAGTACTCCCACCACAAGATGCTGCACTACGAAAAGAAGTATGAAGATACAGAAGCAAAAGAAATTCAAGGGGCAACAGAGGTCATCAACTCAACTTGGACCGTCAAGAAGCAATCGTATTTAAAAATGCTACCGTTCCAGGTCAAAGGACCAAAAGGAGCTGTCAACAACCTCGCGTTGATGGACGACGGCTCAACAGTCACGCTCGTCGACGATAGCATAGTAACAAGCGTCGGAGCAAGGGGCCCATAGACCCACTGAAGATAGAAACCATCAACGACAAGAAAGTATCGGAGTCAACATCAAGGAGAGTCACCATCAAACTAAAGGTGCTCAACGATCATGAAGAACAAATACAAGTACGCACAGTCAAGAACCTGCAAGTCTCATCTCAACGGGTTCCACAGGAACTAGTGGAAGAGTGTCAACACCTCTCTGATATCCAAGGACATCTCACATATGCAAACGCAAAGCCACGAGTGCTGATCGGTCAAGATAACTGGCATCTTCTGCTGACATCAGAAGTAAGAAGAGGAGACAAGAACCCAGTGGCATCTCTCACGCCACTAGGTTGGGTACTCCATGGAAGCCAGACACGAAGCTTCGGACGGAACATCGATTTCGTGTCACACATCGCGAGGATCCAGACGAGAATCTAAAAGACCTCGTGAAGCGATACTTCGAGATGGACGCACTCTGCATAAAACCCAAGAGACCGAAGACTGATCCAGAAGAACAAACACTTCGTATCTTGGAAAGGACCACAACAAATATAGAAGAAGGAAGATTCCAGACCGGTCTTCTCTGGCGCAAAGACGATTTCAAGTTACCAGACAACTATAAAAACTCGCTGAAGAGGCTCTTCAATATAGAAAAGAAGATCGATCGTGATTCCACGTTAAAGAAGAAGTACGTGGATCAAATGGACGCTCTCATCGCAAAGGGGTACGCCGAACCCGCCCCAAAACCAGACAGAAGACGGAACGAGTTCTGGGTGTTGTCTGGAAGATCAACTCAGACAAACTCACCTTCAACCTCAATTTAGCCAGAATACCCTCAACACTCCTAGAAGGGAAGCAGCCGACGAAAAGGGAAGCAGTGAGAATAGTGATGTCGCTCTTTGACCCGCTCGGATTCGCCTCACCTATCACCATCAGGGCAAAACAACTCCAGGAAGTCTGGCGTAGAGGAACAGCATGGAACGACAAGATCGACGAAGACCTGGCGGAGCAGTGGGAAATGTGGATGGAGCATCTGAAAAGCCTCCACGGGGTAGCAATCCCGCGGCAATATCTTCACTACAGCGAAGCGGCCTCCCTAGAACTCCACGTCTTCAGCGATGTCAGCGAGGCAGCCTACTCTGCGGTTCTCTTTTGGAGAGCTGTAACAGCAGTAGACGAGGTCCACTTATCCCTCATTATGGCAAAAGCAAAGGTGGCACCGTTAAAATTGACGTCCATCACAAGATTGGAGCTACAGGCAGCAGTCATGGGCACCAGACTCGCAGCAACAGTAGTCGAAGAACACGAGAGGAAACCTAACCGCAAAGTATTCTGGACGGACAGCAAGACAGTACTAACCTGGATAAGTCAGGGTCACTTCATATAAGCCCTACGTGGCTCATCGTCTAGCAGCAATAGAAGAGAGTTCCAAAGTCAACGACTAGCGCTGGGTTCCGAAAAAGCTGAACGTGGCGGACGACGCCACACGAGACGTAGCAGCAGCCTTTAATAAAGACCATCGATGGTTCAAAGGACCTGACTTCTTATACCTAACAGAAGACTCCTGGCCGACGGAAACTGCAATAGCAACAGCGGAAGAACCTTCCGACGAAGAAAAGACACATCACGTGAGGAACAAAGGAAGATTGAAGCTTGCAGAAGGTCTACCTGATCCAGCGAAGTTCTCCAACTGGGACCGACTCCGATACTCAAACGCACGTGTTCTACAGTCTATTCAACTCTGTAGAACCACCAAACAGAGAGTCGACTACAAAAGAACAAAGAAGAATAAAGAGGCTGATTCCACTTGGAAAATGAACAAAGCTACAGTAAAATATCAGGCGCACACGACGACAAAGAAGCGGTCGCCAGAAGACATAAAGCCGCTAATGATCACAGCCGAGCTGCTTAAAGCAACTGAAGAACTCCTGATGCGATCCTCCCAAGAAGAATCCTTTGCGGAAGAAATAGACAGCCTAAACAGCTGGAAGCCGATTAACAAAGAGAGCTGCCTTCGCCAACTCAGCGTCGAGTCAATAAACGGCACACTACGACTTAGAAGCCGTATTCGAGCGATCTACGACATGGAGGAAGAATTCAAGAACCCGCTGATAATTGACGGTGATCATCATACAGTCAAGCTCTGGGTGCAGGCTATACATCGGCAACTCCATCACGCCGGTGTAGAGGCCACAGTCAACGAGTGCTGGCAGCAGTATTGGGTACTGAGACTACGCCCTATCGTACGAACAATACTACGAAGATACCTAATCTGCAGAATGAAGACGCAAGTACCACCGCATCCGAGAACCGCGGACCTGCCAACATGTCGCTTAGCTCACCACAAGCGCCCCTTCACCTACACCGGGGTGGACTATTTCGGACCTCTTTCGGTGACCGTCGGACAAACTCGACAAAAGAGATATTTGGCCATTTTTACATGTCTCACGACGCGAGCCATACATCTGGAATTCGCCGGCTCACTTAGCGCTGACTCCGCGGTAATGACCATAAGGCGAATGATCGCGCGGCGAGGCTGCCCGACTGAAATATGGTCAGACAACGGCACCAACCTGAAGGCAGCCGATAAGGAATTACGACAGGCGGTCGACGCAGCGACCGCAGAAGAAGCAGCGAAGAGGACTATCTCCTGGCGCTCCATTTATGGGAGGAGCCTGGGAGCGAATGGTTCACTCCGTCAAGACGTGACACGAACGTCATCCGACAGAAGAAGTCCTCACGACACTACTGGTAGAAGTCGAATACACCGTCAACAGCCGCCCGCTGACTCACGTCTCAGTACGTCCATACGATCTCGAAGCTCTCACTCCTAACCACTTCTTGTTGGGAGGACCGGGACGAGTACCACAGCCAGGCACTTTCACCGAACAAGACGCCCTCTTACGGTCAAGTTGGCGAGCTGCGCAGAGGCTAGCCGACATCTTCTGGCTACGTTGGGTGAAGGAGTACCTTCCTGAGCTCCAAAACCGGCGGGAGCCCCACGGACGAGGCCAAGCAGCACGCGTAGACGACCTCGTACAGATCGTCGATCATAATCTGCCCCGCAACGTGTGGATATGAAGAAGAGTCATCGCTACATATCCGGGTCCCGACAACATCGTGCGGACGGTGGACGTGCTGACCAAGGGAGTTGTCCTACGTCGGCCAGTAAGGAAGCTTGTGATCCTGCCTCTATATACGGACGTCGAGACCGCAACGGAAGCTGATGCGACGCGGTCGCACGACGGGAGTGATGTACGGGACAAGTGAAAACAAATAGTAATATGATAATACATAAATAAGACAAACATTTTATGTTATATAAAATTGAATAAATATTATAGAGTTACACATAAAATAGGGTAATGACAGGGTGAGCAATAGTGTGATAAGAGAAAAGTTTGGTTTGCAAGATGACGTTGTGACAAGGATTAAGAAAGAAATGCTTCGGTGGTTTAGTCATGTAGAAAGAATGAACGAGGAAATAGTGAAAAAGCAAATTTATGTGGCAGAAGTGAACGACAGGGTCGGGAAAGGACGCCCTAGACGAAGGTTTTTCGACCAAATCGGCGATACATTAAAAATTGGCCAGATTAGGAGTACCCTTAACCGACGAGCGTGTATGCGTAGATATATGGATGTAAAAGAGGCAAGAGAGGTGTGTCAGGATCGCGCCAAATGGAAGTCCGTAGTCTCTGCCTACCCCTCTGGGTGACAGGCGTGAGTGTTTATAATTTATGTATGTATGTATAAAATAGGATATAAGCATTTTATGTTATGATAAGGAAATAATAGTTTAGTGTTTATATCTGTATAATAGAATTAGTTTTAATGTAAACAATGATTCAGTAAGGTAATCACCTTGTATAGTAGAACCAGATTTAATGTAAACAATGTAACGTGACTCAGCAAGGTGGTCACTTAACATCGTCACTTGCTCTGTCACGCCTCGCGCTGATTGCTCGACGCCGTTTGCACGATACTTACAACGTATATATTGACCCAGCCGAGGTAGTATAAAAGAGGGGCGATTCATACAGTCGGCGGCCAGCTACCTCAAGAAAAACATCGAATATAGAAGAAATAAAATATCTCAGCGGATTTATTCTCCACCAACCCAGCACAAAATTGTGCCTGGAGAATCCCTCGCTGAGCATCCACGGCCATGCTATTCCACTCCTGCGCGTGAGTGCTCAGGCTGCCCCGCGTATTCTGGGGGGAGTGGGGGGCAAAATTCCGCTCAACACAATAACTGCTCGGGGCAAATTGAGCAACAAGACCAAGGCGACCCCTGCCACGCTATCCGTGAATTTCTGCAACATCAGGGGACTTCATTCGAACCTAAACGCCGTCCACACCATCTCGAGATGGCGAAGCCGGCCTTGCTCTTTCTGACCGAGACGCAGGTGTCCTCTCCGGCTGATATTTCGTATCTCTCCAACCCAGGGTACAAATTGGAGCACTCCTTTGTGCCTCGGGCTGGAGTTTGCGTGTATGTCAGAGAGGACATCTGTTCTCGACGCCTCGGCAGTCTTGAAGGTTCGGACCTGTCCATTCATTGGCTACGCGTAGACAGCGACGACCATCCGCGCGTCTACGTGTGCCTCTATAGGTCCCATAGCGGTAATACCGAAACAGACCGACTCATCGACCACGTCCAAATGGCTACAGATTCCTTGCTGCAACAGGTCCCATCCGCAGAGATCGATTTCCTTGGCGATTTTAAGGCCCATCACGCCGAATGGCTCGGTTCCCGTTTAACCGATCATGCGGGGAGATCTGTTTATAACTTTGCCTTGGCATATGGTCTGACACAACTGGTTACATCGCCTACGCGGATTCCAGATGTTGAGGATCATACACCTTCACTGTTGGACCTTCTGCTGACCTCTCATACGGACGGATATCAGGTTTCCGTCGATGCCCCTCTTGGCTCTTCGGACCATTGTCTGATCCGGAGTGTGGTGCCACTCACGCTCCCGTCGCGGTTGCGTTCTGCAGGTTGCCGCCGTGTTTGGCATTACAGGTCGGCGGATTGGGACGGAATGCGGTCTTTCTTTGTTTCCTACCCATGGGGGCGGGTTTGCTTCTCGATGATCCCAGTGCTGTTGCTGACTCTGTCACTGAGGTGGTGCTACAGGGAATGGAACTATTTATTCCATCATCTGTGGTACCCATCGGAGGCAGATCTCAGTCTTGGTTTGGACGCTTGGTAAGACTGTATTACGCAGTAAGCAGGAGTGTTATCAAGCCTGGGCTGCAGCTTAGGCGACTCGGGATGTAAACACCAGCACACGTAATAGGAATATAACTTTGCTTTCAGGTCCTACAAAAGAGTTATTGCCAAGGCAAAGTCAGAGCACATAGGCAGAATTGGCGAGAAACTAGTTCGCCTTCCTTCGGGAACCCGTGCATTATGGTCTCTTGCCAAGGCTGTCCAAGGGAATTTCTGTAAGCTATCACTACCATCTCTGCACAGGGAGGACGACTCACTGGCCCACGATGCAAAAGAAAAAGCCGACCTTTTAGGCTCCCTTTTTGCATCCAACTCGACTGTTAATGACGGGGGGAACACACCGCCGACCATCCTGCGGTGTGAGTGGTCCATGCCGGATGTGCGGTTCTCATAGCGCTCGGTTCGCAGAGCACTCCTCTCCCTTGACATCCACAAGTCGAGTGGGCCTGACGGAATCCCCCAATTGTGCTGAGGACGTGTGCTCCGGAGTTGGCACCGGTTCTAACGCGTCTTTTCCGGTACTCCTACTCCCTAGGCGTAGTCCCGAAATCATGGAAGACAGCTTTTGTCCACCCGATCCCTAAAAAA